CTTAGTCTCGCGACTTTTTGTTAACCTCTGCTAGTTCAGTAAGTTATATGTTGTTCAACTGTTCAAGTTATTTTGTACAGGTCAAACATTGATAAACCACTTTTGTCACTATCTGCTAACGGTCTTCTCATATTATTTTAACCACCTTGCTGTTTACAGTCTAGTTTACAGATGTGACCTATTTTGAAAGCAGCATTTATGAAAAAATAGTAGAAATTTAATAGTATTGTAATAAGCCAAATCAGGATTTTCAATTTATCTTACAGTAAAAATTTGCTTGAAAATTTAGAATGATTAACGCAACTGAGCATAGACGAAACAAAAGTCTGAGCTATTTCTGTAGTTTTGCATCATTATTATTTTTTTTCTTTCTTATATTGTGATGTTCTCGAAAGCTTCAACGAGCTACTTTGGTATTTTTGATTCACACTTAACTGTGAAACTTTACACTTAATAAGTTTGGTAACATAGATTCGTGGTTTACTTCATAACAAATGTTTTGCATGAACAAATAATAAAAATAAAACGAAAACTTTGAGTAGATTTAAGGATGTAAAACTGTAATTAGTTTTTTCTGGCTTAGAGGTAAAATGAAACAGGCACTATAGAACCGTGTAAGCATAGCATTTTTATAAATAGCTTTACATTCCTTGAAAAACAGTAATTGTTTAAGAAAAAAAAGCTTCGTTTTTATTCAGAACTATAAATGAAAAAGTGTTAAAGCGAAGTGCGTTCTGAACAAAAAAGTGTGATATTTTTTGAATTTATGCGTTTGATAAGTAGTGGTATGAAACAAAGTACTATTCTTGATGAAAATTATTTTCTTTTTGATAAAATTAATCTTAAGTCATAGAGTACTATTCCGTTTACTACGACATGACATAGGAATATTCAGTTGATTAGCCTAAACTTACTTAAACAGGTTATAAAAGTTGCTAACGCTCCATACTAAAATTGTCAAATTCTATTTGTTTAAATACTGTAGTAAAAAAAGCACATTTAAAATACCTTTGTTGCAAAATTAAATAGAATTTTTGTGAATAATTCAATTTTTTGTTACTACAGCTGCTGTGAAAATTTTACTAATTAAATTCAGTGTAACAGAAAACACGTTGAATGTGGGTGTAGAAACAGTATCTGCAACACTTGATTGCTGATTGAAGAGTATTAAGAAATACCTTTTTCACCTAGTCAAGTACGTTTTCTAGCTCTTTCAGCTCATATATATATATATATATATATATATATATATATGCGGTGAATCTATACGTAAATCATTTTCGTTTTTTAATAAAAGGCGACTCAAATATGCCGGTGTTTAAACCATAAACATCGTATTTGGACAATTGTTTTTATGGCTTTTGAATAAGGAGTCACACATCTATTATCTTTGTAGACAACACAATTGTTTATATAAATGATAATAGTGGTTGATTACAATGGAAACTTTTGGTTGAATAATCGTGATAGAAGATTGAGATTGTAAATGCTTTCTTTAATTTATTTTTCTGTTTATAAATAATTTTAACTTTTTCTGATCAGAGACTTCTTTGACTTCTATTGAATGTTTTTGATACAATTTCTGGACTTTTCTTCTTTTATCTTGTATCTTGAAATCTAAACTAAATTTAACGTATCATTAGCGAAGAACTTTTGTACCGTTTAGAAGGTGAAAATAAAATTAAATGAGCGTGGCTGTTTTTAAAAAAAAACTGTTATTTTGTAAAACTTTGCAACAACCTATATGAATTATTTTTTACTGTACCGATATTTATCTAAAGTGTTTTACCGCTAACTTCAGGTAAGGGAAGGCTGTAAGCGATGCGCACAGGTTGGCTCGTTTTGCTGCTTCATCAAGCATTTTATAGTATCCTCACAGAATGTCACCAAGAACAGGCAAACTCAACAGTACAGGTTCACCGACCTCAGAAACTCAAGCTTATTTAGTCATTTTCGTTTTACATTTTTTCGTTTCAAACAATTTAAGTTTTTCTCTAAGCCCACGTTTGACCGTACTCTACTAAGATGTAATAAATTGATATGTAAATATAGTTTTTATTTGTCTTTCTAAGCAATGGCACACCTAGTTATGCTCTAAAAATTGTTTTTTTTTTGTGGTGGAGGGGAGTAACTGTAATTCAATAAGTCATTAAAAAAATTAATTTATAGCTTATTTTTTGTTTTAAATTGTCATTAAAGTGAGCAATAAACTGAATTCAATGTAAATTAGCACTGTTTTCTAAAATCAAGAGTAAAGTATTACACTGTTGACAGTTATTTCCAAAATTAACAACTTTTCTACATAAAAGTTAATTTCGTATTTACTAAATAAGCAGTCTACAGATCTAAAATTTTCAGGAGTATAAGGTTTCATTTCCAGAGCTTTTGTCAGATTTCTTTCTGGGCTTAAAATTAAGCAGCGGCATTACGGTTAAAACTCATCCAGTGAATCTGTCTTTAGGTAAGACGTGAAATTCATACAGAAATCTTTATTACATAAAAATACAAAAACCTTTAACAATATACCAAGTTTTATGCAAAAAAAAAAAAAAATTACAACGAGAAAGTAAATGTTAAGTCAAGTTTTTTTTTCTTTATTTTTTTTTTAGTGAAAAGAAGCATTTAGTTTTACTTGACCAGTAATTGATGCAAGACAAATAGTAGTAAGATACAGAAATCGCTTATTTTTACTTGATGAAATGCTTTAAAAAAAATTAAGATTTGTCTGATGTAACTCCTTATGCA